GTGTGTGCCACCATGCCTGGCATTCTTTTTTTAAAGAACGTATTTATCTCTCAGGTTTAGAGAGTGGAAACCCAAATTGCATCTCAGCACAGTGGAAGTGTGTGTGTCTCTTGTCCGTATTCTGTTTCCTGTGATGCCACAAGCCACAGGTGTTGGTTTTAAAAAATAATAAGCGGCACTGGTTGCCGTTTGAGAAAGGTCACGAGGCACGAGGCATGACAAAACCCAGTATCAGAGCTTTATTAGGAGGAAGTGGGGGACAGAAGAGAGTGTGGCCAGGCCTGGGAAGAGACATGTGAGGGGGAGAGAGAGAGAGGTGGGGGAGGAGAAAAGAGCAGAAGAGGGAGGGGGGGAGTCTGTGTCCGTCTTTTAAGGATTCCCCTGCACATGCGCAGGCGGGCTGACGGAGCTACTCCATGTGCGCTGATTGCGTGACCATGCTGCACGTATTTGCGCAATCACGCAGTGCACTGATGACATGAGACGTAAGACCCCTTGCTTAGCTACTGAACTGCGCATGTGCGGTCATATAGCTGGAGTGGCAGAATCCTAACAACATGGCCTCTGGAAAACTCCAGGGGACACTCATGAGAGGCTGAGGGTGAGAAGGCAAAGGAGCACAGCCAATGAGATAGTTCAGTGACTAAAGACACTTGCCACCAACACTGATGACTTGAATTTGGGCCCTGGAGCCAATGTATCAGTGAAAGGAGAGAACCAACTGTACAGTCACCCTCTGACATCTGTGTGAGGCCATGCACGCATGCCCACACATATATAAACATATATACGTTAAATATTTTTTTAAGAAGGAAAACATCAAAAGTCTTACTTTATCATGAAAATGGGTTCTAGCATCAGGCTCCCTGGAGAGGTCTCAGGGACTCCCTAGTGGGTCCTGCAGACCATGCTTAGGGAACCACTAGAGACCACTGCACGCTGGGCTGGTAGGTTGACTGTCTAGCGTGAGATACCTACCATGCAGCCTCAGAGAGATCGTGCCACCAGGCTCCGGTTGTCCTATCTGCATGCTGGGGCTGTGGTTCCTGCTGAGCTTGTCTTGCAGGGTCATTTCCAGGCTCAGCCCATGCCTTTGAGGCCTCTCTCCCCAAACCAAAGCTGTGTATTTATAAACAGTATCACCAAGGAGCCTTTGAAGTGCGTGTCATCTCTGATATGTAGGACAGTTATTTTTAAAAATCTGGCATCCTGTCTTTATGCCACTGGTTCTGGGGACACCTCCGTGAAACCATTCATTATTCTCAGTTTACAAACGAGGTGGTTGAGACTTGGTTTAAGTCCATTGGCCAGAAAACAGGGACTTGTCTCAAGTATGTGGACACTGACGGCCTGTTCCTAAGGCACGCAGGCTCTGGGTGGCTTACCTGGAGCTCTTATCTGATGTGGGGCTGTGTTTTTGACACACTGACACATTCAAATAAGGAGATTGCCACGGTCAGCGATTCTCTGCTTAAATAAATTACCCGCCATGTGAGTCACATAAGCTCTGAAGATCTAAAGACATCACACAGAGGGAACCAGTTTAGAACTCCTTGAAGTGCAGATTTTTAAATGAGCTGGGTTGCTGGGTGTGGTGGTACACACCCTTAATGCCAGTACTTACAGGTTCTGAAGGCAGGATGAGTGTGAGTTCTGGGCCAGCCTGGGCTACATAGCAAGCCATCTCAAAACAACAGATCACAAGCCCAGGGATAGTAAATAAATGGCTTCCTTTGTTTGTTTTTTGTTCAAGCTGGCCTTGAACTCCAGATCCTCCTGCCTCTCCCTCCCAGGTGCTGGAATTACAGGCCTGTGCAAGCATGCCCAGTGGTGCCTGTGTTTTGACTGGTAAAGACCTGCCCATCTTCTGGAGGTGTTTGTCATCATGAATTACCCGTCTTCATGGATCATTTCCCAGGAAAACAACTCTGTGCTCTCAGTCCTGAAGCAGCCCTACTCCATCTTGTAGGATCATTTGACTGTGATGTTGGTGACAAAGAGCGATAGTGAGGTCTTTTCTTGAACCAGGGAATGGAGCTGGAGGCACAAGTCTGTGGCAACTAGCTGTTCAGATGGTATTTAAGGAAATCTTTTTAGTTGAGTTAAATCCCACCCTCTCTGCTCCAGTGGCGGAAGCCCTCCAGCAGCCAGCCGTACTTAATTACAGTGCTGTGCCCGGGATAGCATGGAGAGTGGTCTTTCTCTTCTACCCGAGTTAATGTAATGAATATCGTGACTAACTAAAGGTGTATGTTTCGGTCTTGTGGTTTTTAAAGATCCACTTCAGTTGCAGTTGATAGAAGTCCCATTCCGGCTAGCTTGAATGAAACAGAAAGCAAAGGGGTGAAGGTGGTGGTGAGGATTGCTTTAAGAAGAGAATAGTACTTTAATCCCAGCACTCGGGAGGCAGAGCCAGGCGCATGTCTGTGAGATCGAGGCCAGCCTGGTCTACAGAGCGAGATCCAGGACAGGCACCAAAACTACAAGGAGAAAGCTTGTCTTGAAAAACCAAAAAAAAAAGAAAAGAGAGAGAGAGAGAGAGAGAGAGAGAGAGAGAGAGAGAGAGAGAGAGAGAGAGAGGAGAGACAGAGAATAGTAGAATGTAGGGTTGCTGGGTCCCTTCTTTCATACCGCTGTGTGGGCTGTCTCGTGTTCCACGGTGATGGCCAGCTACTCCATGCTTCCATCCCATCCTTTAGCCACCTTAGAGTGAAACTTTCTCTTGCGAAGTTTCAGAAAATCTTTAGAATGAAGTCTCATAGTCTCATTAGTTCTAATTCTTTGGCCGCTTCCCGGCCCCCCCACCCCAACTCCACAACCACTGTGGCTAGGAGTATGGATTGCTGATTGGCTAGCCTGGGTCACTTGACCACACCTGGGCCCAGACTTGCCACCAGAGACTGAGCCATGGGGTTGAGGCTGTTGGCAGAGGGGAAAGATTTTGGTTTGTGGGCTCCCATACCTCAGTACTTTGGGGGGAATTATTACTCAAGTAGCCAAGATATCTGGCAATATTAAGAACTAGATCACTTGGTCTCAGGAAAGATGACCTTGTTAGCTGTGACCACTTTGATGAATAGATATGTGGTGGTTGAATGGAGCCGATCATGTGATGCCCGGGTGTGTAGTTCCCTGCTGGGGAAATGTGGTTGTCAAATCTGTCCCCCCTCCCCACCCACATTCTCTTGATTGGTCACATTTTCAGGACAGAGAATCATAGAAGGATATTAGCCAGGCTCATGAGCCCTAAAGAACTGCCCAGGGACCTTCAGAAATACTCAAAACCCTGTGACAGTTTGAAAACACCCAAATATGATCAGGTCATTTTTCCTGAAATTCATCACACACTATGATCCCAGCCTCCCAGGGAGGCCAAGGCAGGAGGGTTGTGAGTTCAAGGTCAGTTTGGGCTGCTGAGGGAGATCCTGTCTCAAAAAACCCACCTGTAGTAGCCTGGCCCAGCATGGGTGATGATTCAGAGTCTGGATCTGGGCAGACAGCCCACAGACAACTAACTCCACCTGAGGCTTGCCAGCCCTTGCTTGGGGCTTATGTAACCAAGGGTGCAGGGCTCACGGATGCTGTAACGTTCAGGGCATCCTGAACTGTGTAAGCTTGTGGACTTCCCATCTTCCTCCAAGGGGGAAGGTTTCAATGAGGAAGAGATGGTTGAGTGCACCACCAAAACCCTGATGACAGTGACCAGAGCTGGGGCAAAAAGCCGGTGTCAGAAGTGGGGTTTGGCCTCAGGAGCTCCCAAGGACAGCAGAGACCACACCCTTGTGTTCTGGAAGGCCAGCGACATTGTCATACCCTCCTTCCAAGCCCATAGCTTGAGATGATAAGGGTATGAACTAGGAGAACTAAGTCAAGCCTCCTTAGCTCTACGAGGCCCTGCAATTCCACATGTACAACACAAGTTCTCAAGGTTAATTGGAGGAAGGCCCTGTCCAGGTTGCAGACATCTGGCTCCCTTAGATGCCTGCAAACAAAATTGCCCTTCCCTTCCTCGTCTCAGCCAAGTAAGCCATTGTGTTCCTCTTGGGATAAGTCGCCCCCCACCTCCACCCCCAAGTCTCTTTCCCCACTCAGGCTTCTGTGTAGATCCTACCTACTCCTTTGAAGGTTTTTAGGAGCCCTCTGCAGTAGCTGGTCTAGTGAGGGGTCTGTCTCTGCTGCTGGTGGCTCTAGAATGGGCGTACCCTCAGATGGAAGTGCCCTGAAGTCAGGGTCCTGCATGTGGTACGCCTGCACTCTGTTTAACATTTGTGAGTCCCAAGGCTTGGGGCTCTGTGGGAGTGTGGGAAATGGTCCTGTCATATCAACTGAAGCCACCAAAGGCGACTGAGAGCTCTTCCCCAGAGGACCAAGAAGGTTTTAACATACACAGGGCTGTCTAACATATGTTTCTGTTTTTCGAGACAAAGTTTCTCTGTATAATAGCTCTGGCTGTCCTGGAACTTGCTCTGTAGACCAGGCTGGCCTCGAACTCACAGAGATCTGCCTGCCTCTGCCTCCCAAGTGCTCGCATTAAAGGCGTGCGCCACCACCGCCCAGCAACCAGACACATTTTTTTTTAACAAGGTTTTTAAATTACAGAAATAAAATACATAAATTACAGGGTGTGGTGGTGAATGCCTATTAAATCTCAGCACTGGGCAGGTGGAGGTAGGAAGGTTTCAGAGTTCAATGCCATAGTAAGACTATTCTGGATGGGTAAGTGGATGAGTGAATGATTGAAAAGCTTAACGTCTAAGTGTAGCTAAAGTAAGTCGCAAATACATTTTCTTCATGACCAGCTTGAAGCTCTCATGTAGCTGGTGGCAGCCATTGATTGGACAGTGTGGATTTTGGCCCCTTCTTAGAATGGCTGACAGGTTTTGGATGGTGCCAGGCCTGGCATTGAGTTCCTTCCAGGTGTTTCTGGCCAGATGCAGCAGATGTTTGCAGCTTCCTTCCTCAGCCTGATGGTATTTCCTCCATCTTCCCCCTGGCTACAGGACGCACGCCAGAAATTCCGATCTGTCCTGGTCGAGGCGACGGTGAAACTAGACGAACTGGTGAAGAAAATCGGCAAAGCTGTGGAGGACTCGAAGCCTTACTGGGAGGCCCGCAGGGTGGCCAGGCAGGTAAGGTGGCCTGCAGATGTCTCCCCCGCCCACTGCCCCCACCTGCATTTGGGGGTCACCCTTTGGTTTCTGTATCTCCCAGGGAAGGTTAGAAGCACTTGTCCCATGTGAAATGGCTCTGGCTTTGTACACGGATGGCTGCATTTGATCAGTTTTCCTATACCCTGCCCTCATCAGCTCCGTTCCAGCTCATGACACCATTGATACTGTATGGGTGCTGATAATTGGATGGCTCTTGCCACGTGACTGAGTCCTCTCAGTTGGAGAGCTGGACTCATGGACATTGTGAATGTGTCCCGAGCCCTTGCATTCTTCTGTCCTAGTGGCTGCCCGAGAGGCACCAGGCAGAATGACCCCCGAGAAGCACTTCTCACCTCCTGATGCGTCCGTTTGAGTGTTCAGCGAGCGAAGCTGAAGGAATCCATGAACAAACGTGTGAATGATGGGCGAGGGGAACCACCAGCCAATCCCACATCCTCTCCTAACTTAGAATTCTCCCCCTCCTCACCACTCACATCCCTCCAAACACTTTCCTGCTCATAGCTGGGGGTGCAAAGCAGTCTGGTTGGCATCATCCAAATCATACGTGGTGGGCGGGGCCTCACCTGGCTGCCGCCACACCTGAGTGGGTTTTACATCCTCCTTTTCTCTTCTGTACCCCAAATCTCCTTTGGGACAGGGGTAGGCGGGAGCTGTACTGGGGGGCACCTCATCTGCTGGGAAGCAGTGGATTGTGACATATCCCTTCCTTCTCTTTTGCCACTAAGGACAACAGTCATGATCTCTGAGGCCCCTGGGCAACTATTGAGTTATCAGCTATAGGCGGATGATGCCAGATCCTGCAGGTGGCTGGCTGCAATGGGCAGAGCCCAGATGAGGCTTGAGGGGCTTGGAGTGGAGCTGAGCATGCAAAGCCTCTCACTGACCTCTTTCCTGCTTGCTGGTGGGAAGTGGGGAGAAGGACTGGGGTGCCACTGCCCCCGGTTCCAAGGGACTTTGGTCTCTAATGGAGGAACTGGAAGGATGAGAAGGCTCAGGCAGGATGTTAACATTTCATTCTGTGGGTGACAGGTTCCCTGGGCTTGAGCCAGATGTTGTGACTGGCCCCCGTGACCTTTCTGATGGTAGGAGAGAGTCCCACCTCAGCTGCTGCCAAGTGGGGTTCCTGTTTTCTTCCTCTGCCTCCTCCCAGCTCCCTGCTTCCTTTTGATGTTGGCAAACCCCCCTGACTGGCCCTGCAAGGTTGTAGCTGAGAGCCCTGCAAAGCCCTTCCTCCAAGTGTGCATCCTGAGCTGCATCCCATTCTTGAAATGCTGGAGGAGGCATTGTTCTTAGGACTGAAACGAGAGGACATGTCTGACAGTGGAGTCCTGGATGAGCTTGGGTTTCAGTGTCTTTTTTTTTTTTTTTTTTAAGAATTTATTGTGGAAAGTTTAGAACCCGCTTACTCCCTCCCTCCTCCCCTTCCTCCTCCTCTGCCTTTTCCCTCTTCACAGGTGGTTTCACACATTTGGACTGCCTGTATCCCCCCTCCAGCATCCCATTGAATCCCACATGGTACTCCAAGGAGAAAAACCTTTCCTACAACTTGGCTTTCTGTAAAGAGTTTAGAAAGACGTAGTCATAGGACCAGCAGAAATTGTAGCCCTGCGTCAGAACTCTACATTGCCTCGTTCTCAATGTCAAATCGTTTTCCTGACAATAAATCAGGCCATCTTTGTGACCCTGAGACCAAGTCCAAGTTAGACCAAGAGGAGCCAGACCTTGCCATCTTTTCTGAGCTGGGCTGGGGGCAGGGGGCTGGCTTTGATTTCTTTGGGAGCTTTTGTGCTGGGGCCCAAGCTGTTTCCAAGGCTGTCAGCACGAGGGTGAGGGCCCTGTGGCATGCCCTCTGCTTGCTCTGCTCTGCGGGGTCTGATTGCCCCAGCAGGAGTCTGGGACCGGTCATGTTATCACTGGCAGAGCAAGTTTTGTTTATTTGCTGGGTTTGTTTTTTTTTTTTTTGCTTTCTCTTTTTAAATTGATAAAACATCGATAACAAGAAAATTCCCACTGAACCAGTTTTAAAGTTTGCTGGTTCAGTGGCATCGACATTTACTTGGTTATGCATCCCAGAGCACCAGAACTTTTTCCCTTCTCCAACTCAGGTTCTGTAGCCATGACTACACAATGGCTCCCCATTCCTCTCTCCGCACAGACCCTGGCAACCATCCTTCTGCTTCCTCTCCTAGGAGCTTTCCTACTCTAGATGCCTCCTCAGTGTCGAGGTACTGAGGAATGTTCAGGGTTTGTGACTGGCTCATTTCATTTGACTTAGGTCCCTAGTGTTCACCCGCAGTGTATTCGTCTGTTTATTGAGACAGAGTCTTACTATGTAGAACCAACTGACTTCACAGAGATCTCCCTGCCTCGGCCTCCCGAGTGTTGAGATTAAAGATGTGGGCCACCATGCCCGGCTCCCTTCTTTTAAAAAATTATTTTATGTGTATTTATTTTGTGTGTATGGAGGTGGAGCATGGTGCCACAGCCCACACGTGGAGGTCAGAGTACCACTTGCAGGAGTCCGCTCCCTTCTACAGTGTGGGTGCTGTGGATCACACTCAGGTAACCAGGCTTGGTGGTCAGAGCTCCTTTACCCTCTGAGCCGCCCCACAGCCCTCCCTCCGTTTTCAGGGGGAATGTTACTCTCCTGCCTGTATTACCACATCAAGTGCATCTGTCAGCACTGGCAGTCTTGTTATTTTTAAATGTTTGGAATGCGTCAGAAGAGGGCAGAGCCCTTTGTAAGTCTGTGAGGGCAGCGTCAGCACAAAATGACAAGGTCAAAGCTCAGCGCTGCATGTTGGGTGTTTATGGGGCCACTTAAGGCCACGTTCTACATTTAACCTTCTCCAGAAGAGTCGCCAAGTGAGGAAACATTTGAAATTTGTAGAGTGACTTGGCTGGAGAGCTGGCAAAGCTTGGCCTATGAAGCCAGGCTGAATGGCTTAGAATCCCAGGTCACTGGTTAGTTCAGCGGGTCTCTTCCAGCCTGAGCCTCCCCCTTCTCATAAAATGGACTCGTCTGTCAGCTAGAAGCTTTTGCTACAAATCAAATCACTGTGACTTAGTGGCTTGAAACACTATTTAGCTTATGGCTTTGCCGGGCAGTGTCTTTGCCAGTCTTGTGTGTACACGGTTGGCTGCGTGTGGCTCATCTTGGATGGCCTTATTTGTTAGACTTGGTTGGTTGTCACCTGGGTGGCAGGGGTGACTGTCTCTCATTCAGCAGGACAGACTGGTCCTTTCACATGGTGTTGGATTTCAGGAGCAGAAAGAGCATGCCCTTCCTAGGTCTCTGCTTGATTAGTTTGTTGATATCCTTCTGGTTGGCGTGGGTCACATGGTCAGCACCATTCCAGGAGGTGGAGAAAAATGACCTTCACCCATAGGCATTTGTGTGATTTACCCTGGTGATTGATTTAGTGTCCTGGAAGCATTAGTTAGAGAATGCATTGTTCTAGATAATCTTTCTGTTGAATACTGTATATCTGTGGTGGATCTGCTACCTTAAAAAGATACAATAGCTAGAGAGATGGCTTAGCGCTTAAGCACACATGCCGCTCTTGGTGAGGACCCTAGTAGTTCTCAGCACCAACACCTGACGGTTCACAACTGCTTGTAACTCCAGCTCCAGGGGATCGGATGCCACACACATACACACATAATTAAGAACAATGAAGATACATCTTTAAAAAAAAATACAACAATAAAACCCAAACAAAAATACCAAAAAATCTAGGCTAGCGCAAGAAACAGACCTTTGATGGCTGGGAGGGGATATGAGACGTCAAGACCAAATGCATCCCACAAATGCAGCCGCTTTCCCATCTTATCTGTAGCTTCATTCTGAACTGCAGATGCTCCTCCAGCACGTAAGAGAGCGAACGCGTTCATATTGGCAGTTTTCCTCTTCCGTTTTCCGGGTGTGCGTTACAGAGTTGGTTCATTAACTGACTCATGGCCAACAGGTCTGTAACTCACGCTTGTGTGAGGCTCAGCTAGCTCACGCCTCTCTCTGCTCCATGAGGTATATATCACACTCCTGTGCTCACCAGCACCAGAATCACTTTATTGATGCCCTTTGAGGCTAATTTAAACAGCAAAAAAAATCACAAAAATGTGGAACACATGGCACTAAATAGACTGTGGAGAGAGGGTCCTTGTTGACTGTGTGAGAGCAGAAACAAGGCAGAGAGTCACCTCAGCTCATGTCTGAGATGGCCTGCTGCTGCTGTCACTCCCTGCGTGTGTCTCAGTGATCCTGGGAGCATCCCAAGCATTGATTCAGGGTTACAGGCAAGCTTAGAGAAAGAATACAGGTCCAGTTGTGGGTATGAAATCTGGGAGTGATGGAGATCACCTGGGCTTGCTAAGTAAAGAGCTGGGGGCTCAGTTGGTAATGTGCCCACCACCACATGGGGAATGACATCTCAGTGGGATGCTACTGACCAGGAAAGCCTGGGAGACCAGCGTGCTTGAGTCCTGTGGGCCAAGAAAGAGGCTGTGGGGATGGCAGGAGAACAGAGGTCTAGGGGAGAAAATGGCATGAATGTGAACATGGCTAAGTATGTCCGCCCAAGGGCCTGGGAAAAGAGACCAAGGGAGCTGAAGGACCACTCAGGGATGGAGCATGAAGGGCCATGAGAGAATGTGTACAAGCCACAGATCCGCTGGGGCGTGGCGGGGGCCGTGTGCAGGAGAGCGCTTGTGTTGTGTGGTGTCCCTGCGTGAATGGAGCACCATCTTAAATTTGTTTTGTTTTGAGTCAGGGTAGCCTAAGCTGGTCTTCCATGTGCTAGGATTGCCAGTGTGAACCATCAGGCCCAGGTCAACAGCAGCACTTGACTGAGCTCTAACTGTGGTAGGTATCATGCTTGGTATCATTAGCGCCCCTCCTTTTTTTTTTTTTTTTTTTAAGATTGATTTATTTTAATTTTATGTGCATGAGTGTTTTGCTT